CCTCTCTCATCTTTTTAAGTGGGAGAACTTGCACAATTGGTAGCCGACCAAATACTTTTTTGCCCCACTGTATATCCCCTCCACCAGATTTAGTGCTCCAACCCTCCACTAAAAGATGAGTGGTATAGAGTGATTTCTTCACCACCACCAAACCACATAATATGGCTCAGCATTATCTATGAACTATGTGCATCCAATAAGATTGTAAACGATTTTGTGCCCTTGAAAATATTATTCATTTATTGTATATGAAACTAGGAAAGCATTAACATGGAAAACCCACTTAAATTGGAAGCATTTATCCTTTCTATTTGCTTCAGATGGAAGTATTTTATACGTTTTCAATATGTTAAATTATGTATTACAGTGACTATACATTAAAAAATACCTCATTTTGGCTCTCATCCTGACCATCTGCTTTATCAACTTCAGAAGATTCTTCCAAGCTCTGTACATGCCCTTTGCTCCTCTTGTATTCAGGCTCACTAGAGTCTCGGTCCTGTGTAGTGTACCAAAAACAGTAAGAGACTTAGGTTAAAGGGAGAGGCTCATTTTTAAAGCTTTTTCTTTCAGCAGACAAATCATTTATTTATTATTTCAAGTATATAACATGTTTAGACATAAAGCCAAAGTAAAAGCAACCGCTTTGTAAGTAAAATAACATATCCATCAAAGTTGTATGTTGGAGCCAGGGACCACAAAAGATGCAAAATAGATGACATCCAATGAAAACAGCAAGTGGGTCTCTATTGCTTCTACCAGAATATTTATTTTAAATTAAGGGAACCACACGATATGCAAAAAACAGCTAAGCTATCTCCTGGAGATGTAAATGGCTTTGTAACTCAACTGATTCCTTACAATGCACACAGTCAGATTCAAAGAAGCAAGTTCAATTCCATAACACTACAAAAGTAGTAGCTAACCAAGGATTTTTTTCCTCACTGAGTCAATGTTAGCCTTCTCTGGGCCCAAACTAACCAAAAATATAACATAACTTGCCCCAAGCAAAGGACACAATACCAGTGCAAAGGAATATTATTTGTTACCATGTGCATTTATATTCTGAATTTACACATTCAATACTGAGGATACTAACAATAATGTATGGTAGCTTTAAAGTGAAAAATCATTCAAATCAGGTCAAGCAGTAGAAATATCAAACTTACCTCCTGGGAATATGTGATGTTCCACGCTCTCAGTTCACTGTCAGCAGACCCAGTGATAAGAAGCCTTTCTTCAGAAACTAAAGCTAACCCCCACACCTAAGGAAAAGCGGACCAAAGGCATTTCCTATTTTAATACTAATAGTAGTTCATTCTCCAGAGCAATAGTGAAAACTAATGTGCTTCCCTCATTTCTGTAAGATTGATTTTGCTGCCAGACCATACCAAAACAAAAAGATTTAAGGGTGCCTCAAGATAAGAAGATTTGGGCTTACCATGATATGCTATTTCATCAATGAAAATTATTCTTATATAGGATACTCTTCTTACCCATTCTAATATTCTACAAATTCTCCCTAGTTCGTAAAAATAGTACTTTTACAAAAAATGCACATAAAATGGAAGAAGAAAATCCCTGTGATAACCTCACTGAATGAGCAGTCAGTACGCAAGGACTACCTGTACTTAGAAAAAAAGACCTTTAGCATTCATTACTTTTTCTTCCCATTATTCTCACTTGCAAATCTGCATTCTACTTACTTCAGAGCGGTGCCCAACCAATGTTTTAAAACAGTGCTGAGTATCCAGGTCCCACCATTTTACTAGAGTATCTTTTCCACTGCAAGAAAAAGTTGCATCATAAATGGTACTGAAAACCATTTCACCCTAATTATCAGAGGGTTGACTTCACTGTTCTGTAGCAAGTATAATATATATACAATATCAGACACAGAATGAATTATAACATACAGATTGTACATTCTGCAGACCATGTATCATTTCAATGGGAATTTGAAATTAGTCATAATTAGTTTCTCCATGAAACACATGAAGCCAATTCTTATTCTAACACACACAACCTTTCTTAATTTGTAGACCATTCTTTCATAATATCCTTAATTTTCAAAGTAAATACCTATGCATATTTCATGCAGGATAAACTACAGGTTAATCTTCTCAATGGAACAAGAGAAAGAAATGAAGGTCTCCTTCAATATGGTGAAATAATATCTTATTTATTATTTGAGGTTTTATTTGTTGGCATTAAGCCAACTGTCCCCAATGCAAATAATACAACTGAACCAACACATAACTGTCATTAATTTTCTGGGTTAACTTTTTTCCTTAATTCCTGGCAAATTTTTCAAACTAAAGTAAAATTGCAATGCTTAGTATGAGATTTGGGGGGTGGGGTAGTTACATGCACAGGAATATATAGAAAATAATTACCTAGAAATCAATATATTCTTTGCTTTCAAGAACAACAGTTGTGTAATTGCATCCTTGTGGCCTTTCAATCGGTACAAACCACTCTCATTGATCACATCCCAAATAATGATATCTGTATCCTAGAAAAAACAAAAGGAAATTAAATGGCTCAACGTATGTTATCTTCCTAGCCACAAACACTGTAAGCTCACCTTTACCTAAGTGTCCAATACATTTCCTGCTTCCATATGACCTCAAAATTATAAAATTAAAAATAGCATTCTTTTTTTTAAAAAGATCAAAACAGCAAAAGGCAATGTACTCAATATTTTTGTGGTTTACTTATTTCACTATATGTCCTGCCTACCCTTCAGAAATGCCTTCTTAAACTACTTGATAAAACAATAAAAAATAACAAAATTTGACAGCAAAATACATGTCAGTTTCCAAGTGCCCGAATTTTGATCATGTGATTATGGGGGTGCTACGACCATCGTAAGTGTGAGGACTGGTCATAAGTCACTTTTTTCAGCACTGTTGTAACTTAGAATGGTTGTTAAAAGAATGGTTAGAAAACTGGAGGGACTAATCCAGGCAAACACCAGGAATCAAGACTGACTTGAAAGCCCCCCCCCCCAAAAAAAACCAAAACCAAAAACCTTTATCCTGAAAAGGATATGAAGATGGTATACAAAAAAATCTTGTTAACCAAATCAAATAAAGTTTGATTGTATAATGTAGATTAACCTACATATACCAATGATTTCAAAAGAATCTCTGAACTAATTTATTTATGCACTGGAAACCTAGTTATAACACTGGAAGACATACAAGTTCTTACGATTTTACACTGCACTTGGAATATTTAACTGCATGGTGAAGAAACTTATGAAAGCTTTTTTTTCCTTTGTAAAGTATAAATATCTAAATCAGTTCTCAAAATTTGAGGGGACATTTGCAGTTCTGAAAATGTTCTGCATACTACCAATTAGCTATCCTGAGAGGAATGCTCCATTAATAAATATGGATGGTGTCTCCATTTTTCTCTTTGTGTCTAGTGAATATATGTATAACAATTTACTTTCATTCTCTGCATTTTTCCCCATTCCTGAGTTTTCCCCAAATGATCTAGCTGTTTCACCTTTATTGCTATCCTCTCAAATCCCAAGCATATTTTTTTATTTTTAGTATCAGCTGGCAAGCAAGCAAAGACGTCCAGCTTCCATTCTTCTTTCCTCTATTGTGTGCTCCAGGCAGATATATAGCCTAGATCCAGAAAATCATGGGTCCCAAAATGAACAGAACAAAACAGAAAAAGATGGGTGACAAGCAGAGAACATTGGCAGGCACCTTGGTATGCGTTAACATGTTGCTAATCTCAATATAAATACTAAATATTCAAAAACTAATAGGTACAGTGAAGTAGAGCCATATTCATGGAACTTCAATCTCTGCATTAATTTGGAAAAAAAAAGGTTCATTAGCCTCCATATCCTACTTGGGAACTACCAAAAACCAAGATGGTATATTCCATTCTCCTGTTACATCTACCTGTTTTTGCCATCCCCCTTATTTCTCTTCCTCTTTCCCCCAATCCCCTGCAATAATATGAACCTAAAATCTATCTCACAGGAATTCATTCCATATATCTCCAATTACTTTGCACTGAGCTCCATCATATAGTTCATTTACATCTATTATCAATCAGCTCTCCAAAAAAATTCTCACCTTTGATCCTGATGCCAAATGTCCTCCCAGCTCATCAAATTTCAGGACAATAACAGCAGCTTTATGGCCATTGAATGTGACATTTCTTTCACCACTTAAGAGACTGAACAAACAGACTGAACCATCCTCATATCCAATGGCCAAATGCAAGCCATCTGGGGATGGGCAGAGAGCAGTAACTTCCTGCTTGGGGCCTTGAAGAATGAGAACCTGCAAAATAAAATAAGAGACTTTTGTACTTTGGGATGGTAAAAGGTTCGAAGAAAACAGCAATTAGTACAATAATGCCTTACAATGCAGCACAGATTTACCAACTTTAAGTATATTGTAATCAGTCTTACATTCACACTAATTTAAAGCCAGATGAAATATATAATATTGAACAAATAAACTAAACAGGTCACATTTTATAGCAAACATTTATTAAACATACTTAAGAGATGTTTTGTTATATTGCATTCCCATCCACAAAACATTTAAAATACACAGAAGTTAACTTTTTATAGAAAAGAGTTGTCTTCCATTTCATGTAATTCTGTGAGATGGCACAACATTAAAAAACATATATATGCTTAATATAAATCAAAGTAATTTTAATTTTAAAAATCTTAATAGAATGAAAAATATATAACTTGTCTGGCCAGCTTTCAATTTTTTTATATTCCCTGGAA